CTGTATGTATGTATGTGTGTGTGTATATATTAGGGATGTGCATCTCCTGACGATACGATACACATCTCGATGCATAGCCAACATATGATACGATACATTAACGATACATATGAAGCAGCTACTGATGCCATGCGGTACGATTCACCCCTGTTACGATGCAGTGCGATTCGATTCAACACAGTGCAATTTGATGCAATGGAGAAAATATGATCACATTTAATGCCTTGAGGCCCGTTTCATAAAACAAGTTTACCAAATAAGCCAGGCTTATTTCAGTTAGTCTGACTCATTGTTAAATGATTTGGTTCCATAAAGCATATGACATAGATCAACCTCAGTGACTGTGGCAACTTAGGCTGGCAAACTAACCTGGTCTAAAGTAGGGATGCTCCGATCTGCCTTTTTCGCCTCCGATACCTAGGGTTCGGTATTGGCCGATACCGATCCGATATCAGTGAAGTTTTTTTCCCCTATTTAAATAAATGTAGAATTTATATATCTCTGTGTGTGGAACTGATAATCAAGTCAAGTCAAGTCACCTTTATTTATATAGCGCTTTTAACAATACAGATTGTGACAAAGCAACTGAACAGCATTAATTAGGAAAATAGTGTCAATAATGCAAAATGACAATAGTAAACACTCATTTTTCAGTTAAAGACAGTTCATCATTGAATTCAGCGATGTCAACATCCAGCTCAGTTTAAATAATATCTTTGCAATTATGTCAACGATAACGCTGGAAATGAAGTGTCCCCAACTAAGCAAGCCAGAGGCGACAGCGGCAAGGAACCAAAACTCCATCGGTGACAGAATGGAGAAAAAACCTTGGGAGAAACCAGGCTCAGTCGGGGGGCCAGTTCTCCTCTGACCAGACGAACCAGCAGAACGGAAAATAATCATTCTTTCACAATCTACTAGAAACAGACTACTTCATTATAAAGAAAAATAAAAGAAACAATAAATATGAAAAAATATAGGCCTATGTATGTGTGTGTGTGTGTGTATATATATATATATATATATATATATATATATATATATATATATATATATAA